TTAATTTATGTCACTAAACTTTGAAAAAAGACTTATTTATCTCATCCGTTAAAGGTTTGATCCATCTATGTCATTACCATTTGAGAAAAAGCTAAACCATGTCATTATTTTTTAACTAAAAATATTTTTTATTTTGCAAAATCATTTTCAACACATGGTCAATTATGATTAGACCACGTCATTAATTATATCATTTTTAAAAAGGAAAAATGTTTATATATGTCATTGAACATCGAGAAAAGGTTCATCTATGTCATTCATTAAAAGTTTGGTTCATTTATGTTATTTCAGTTAGTTAACAAATTATGGCATGAATGAGTCTTTTCTCTAACAAAAATACCATGGATGAGTCAAACTTTAACGGATGTCATAGATGAAACTTTGCTCAATATTCGATGGTATATTTGAGCATTTTCCCTTAACTTTATACATGATGAGTTTATCTTGTAACAAAACTACTAAACGTGATATTACTTATACAAAATTTAATATTTACATAACTCATTTCCAATCAGTTATCGAACGCTCAGATGAATAAAAAAATGTTTGCATAGAAACAAACAAAAACACTTTGTAGGTAGCCGTTACAACTAGCTAGTAAATTTATCATGTTGTGCATGTTTGTTTGTTTGTGTTTATCAATGCATTTTTCCGACATGTAAATGTCCTAGTACATCAGACTTCTTTAAGACCAAAAACAGACATAGACAGTGCAAAGTTAAAAATAAAAAAATAAAAAATTGTACTTTGTAGAAAAAATAAATTAATATTAGAATATACAGCTGGTTCCCAACGGTCATATTTATTTAATCTTTTAAATAAAATATTTTAAGACAATTAATTATGTAGCTGCAAAAAAAATTTCCTTTTTTCTCGTAGGATGTAACTAATGTTAACTTCTTCGAGGTGTAGGGGACTAGGGGTCAGAACTTTTCATGGGAAATTTATTTACTATTAGAAACGAATTTAGAATTTGAAGAATTTACTCTTGTCGAGGGTTATGGAAAATAATTTTTATTACCTTCTTGAGATGATAAGGTCTTCGTATATTCTATCTTTTTCAAATTCTATTTTTGAGATTATACTGAATTTTTTGTTGTTATTGAAGTTTACTCGACTTTTGAGATTTATTGTTATTGCATTATTGATGTTGTTGAAGTTAGATCGTATTCAATAGACTCTCGATTCATTCAGGGGTGGCTCTTGCTTAGAAAAATTAAGGCGCATGCCTTATGCCCCCAATTTTGGGAGGCCTCAAATTTTTACCAAGAACAAATTATGTGTTTTTATTTTTATAAAAATAATAATTATTTATAATAAAAAGTGTATATATGTATATGTGTGTGTGTGTGTGTGTGTCCTTAACTCCACTCAAATAGAAGAAATCAAGAAAACGTTGTTTTGTCTTATTACATTTCTGACATTCGCATTATTTATTTATTTTAAAACTCCTTTTTCACTCTTTTTCTACAAATCTTTGATAAGTTAAAGTAATACTCTATCATAAATCTGAATCATTAGTCGAACAATGTTGAACAAAGTAAATCGCAATTTATTTATTTTACTTAAATTTTCAATCAAAGTTAGGTATATCAAGTTATCAACGTCTTGAATCAGATTCTATGGTTCTAACTCTTATTTTGCTTAAAGTTTGTCAACTTATTCCTTAGAGAATTATGTTAACAATTCATATAATGATTGCTTTAGTAAAAGGATATTTTTCAGCATTGAATTGATAAAATCTTACCTAAAATTAATTTTAAAAAATTTAAAAAATACTCAAATAAATCATCTATTAAAAAGTTGAAGTAATAATGTGCATCTAAACAATTAGAAAAATAATTTTTAAATAAATATGTATGAATTTTTTTAGGCCTCAAATAAAATTTCGCTTTAGGCCCCCAGTTACGTTGAGCCGCCCCTGGATTCATTCTAACTTATTACATTAAAACAGAGGGATTGTTAAATACCATTACGTAAACATCCAAAATCTAACTAGCTAGTAATGTCTGTCAAAACCCTACACCCACCATATTAAAATCTCAAGAGATATTTCCACTTCATTTGACATGGTCAAGTAATGAGAGTTCGGAATATTGAGTGATTAGGAAGGTGATAATAATTTCGAAATAATATATATGAAAAAAAAATTATTAATTTTTTTTTTATGTTTAAGAAACTAACCCGCACTAAATTAGCTCCAACAAAGGGTCGTTTGATTAGAAGTATACGAATTTTTTAATTGCTAAGTGACATATATATAATATAAAATAAGTCGATATCACAATAATAAGATACACATTTTAAGCCAACCTACCCTGCCTCCTATGCCCCTACAATAAAATTAATTATAATTATCAACTTTAGTTTCATGTTCCAACTCTCTTTTTTCCCTTTTATATTATTATTATTATTATTATTTTTTATTTTGTTTTCCTCACTAACTTTCAAATCCTGAATTTATCATTTAGTTTTTGAATTTGGTAAGAATATCAGGATTCATTAATAAACTTTAGAATTGGATGACATTTTAGGGTTCATAGAGAAATGAAGAAGAAGAAAATCTAAGAAATGAAGAAGTAGAAAGGGGAAGAAAATATTAGAAATAATGCAAAAGTGATTTAAAGGAAAATAGAAAAAGGAATTTCTTCTTAAATTAGATGTTTCATGAATCGATTTATATGACTTCTTTAAGCCTCTACGCACTTATTGTCGATTCAGTTTAAATATTTGGATAATTCAACATCAAAATGTGTTTTATTATATAGAGAATGATAATTTAGATAAATTTAAAAAAATTGATAATTAATGTATAATACTCAAAAAAAATATAGTACGATAATTCAGATACGTTTTAAATTTTTAATTGATAAAACATGTTAAAAGTCTAAAACCTTAAGGACACGTTTGGTGTGATGGATAAATGAAGATAATCTTAAGTTAAATTTTAGTAATTTTCAATTCTTTGCTTGTTTACAAAGTTTGGAATAACTTATCCTAGAACTAATAATTAGCGATAAGTTGTCTCTGTCTCTGGATGCTGGATGGAATAATAATTTTGCGGTAATTTATCCGAGATAAACTAGTTAAAATAACAAAAATACTTACTCAAATTCTTTTTAAACATCACTTTTTCACATCATTTACACTTATGGAATAACAACTTATACTTATAAATTATGTGGTGTATATTATTTTTAATACAACACACAAAATCTTCACTAAAAATTAATATCAAAACAACTAATCTCATCCCATTATAACTTGTCTTCACACCAAACGACCCCTAAAAGTAATGATTTCAAAATTAAACCAAAATTGATAACCCGAATCGAAGAACATTATTGGTTTAGTGGTTTCCTTCATGATTTTGATTTTTTTTAATTATCGGGTTGTCAGTTCTTAACGGTTTGAGGTTTTTTCTTAATGGGTTAATCGATAACGCGCTGATAAATTAAATAATTATATTTATTCATTTGGTATATAAAGAAGTTTCATACTTTTATTTCTGGTTGTCTCAAACTTTTAGTTATTCTACAATGTGATAGTGTTTGTTTTTTAGCAAAATGCATTATGTCAACTCATGTTCATAGTTCATTTGGTTTGTCAATTTGTTTTTAAGTGATTTTCATTATTTTTTGTGCCAAATCTTAGTTGTTAAACCGAAATAATTAATAACTGAAAAATAAATAACCTATAAATCAATATCTTAACGGTTCTATAACGATTTTACCTGTCTACAAATTGATAATCCATAAGTCAAACCAATAAACTTCATACCAAATCAAATTGAACTGAACCGACCAATTCACAACTCTTACCAAAAAGAGAGATTAAGGACCCGTTTGACCCCAAATAAAAACTTGGGAAAACTTGGAAAAAACTTGGCCAGTGGCGTTTGGCTATATAACTTGGCAAATATATTTGCCAAGAATCCCAAGTTTCCAAATACTTGAAAAAACATTAGTTTTTGGGCCAAGTTCTAGTAGTTGGGAATTTTAAAAAATTAAAAAATTACCTCAGACTTTCATATATTATAAAAAATACCAATAATATTTATCTACCATATCTATCTATCTACTACTAATAAATAACCAGGTTACTCCTCTATCTCAAAAACAACATGCTCACCAACCATATTAATCATCTATGTTTATTAAATAACAATGAAATGCGATATCATTTGCAGGACTATAGGAAAAGTGAAAGAGAGCCTATACGCTTAATGTATTGCTCTTGCATATTGTTATTTTGTTGTTGTTGATTGTTACAAATTGTGTTATAAGACTATTTTTTTCAAAGGAACATATTCACTATAAATAGATAGTACAAATTTATGAGTATTTTTAATAGTTTTTAGAACTTAGGGATAGTCATATTTTTATTGAAATAGTCAAATATTCTTTGGAAACTTCATTTTAGGCAAGCAGGCTGCAGCGCGAGTACCCCTTTTTTTTACTTTTGCTGCAATAGAGGAGATTTCCATTGGACTAGTTAAAAGACTTAGATAACACACGGGGCCAAACACATGATGTAATTTCACCAAAAAACTTGGCCTAAATATGACTCCCTCTGTCCTTAATTACTTGCCACTTTTGAATTGTCACACATATTAAAAAAACAATAATTGATATAATGAGTTTATCATTTTATCACTATTAATTATGAAGTGGATGAATTAAATTTTTTTCAGATTTTCAAGAAGTTCAAACTTTTTTCAAAATAATTAATTGAGGTTATAATAGGTAAATTTTTTTGTCATTTCTTAATTTGTCAAAATGAACAAGTAAGAACTAAAAAAAAAAGTGGACAAGTAATTACGGACATAACGAGTATTTGCCAAGAATATTTGGAAACTTAGGACCAAACGCTAGCTAAAACGAGAGTGAATTTCTTCTTTCTCCCCAACTTCCTAATTTGTAGCTTAATGTGCTTGTACTTTTAGCTCACAGTGGTGTTCTTTTTATTAGAACTTCTGGGAAATTTCCTACCACATGTTATAGATAAGTATAGTTGACTGGAGTATAAGCCATTGAAGCATCAATTGATCTCTTTGCCACAACCATAATCTATTGATTCTATTCTTCGACCAATTAACTGAATCCATGGCATCTTCTTCATCTTCTTCTGCTGCTGCTAGATCGTCGCAGTTGACTCCATGGAAGTACGATGTCTTTGTAAGTTTTAGAGGTGCCGACACTCGGAGAACATTTACATGTCACTTGTATGAAGATTTGAAAAACAGGGGAATATTCACCTTTCAAGATGATAAAAGGCTAGAGAATGGCGATTCCATCCCAGAAGAACTCTTGAAAGCTATCGAAGAGTCTCAAGTTGCTCTTGTCATTTTCTCAAAGAATTATGCTACATCTAGGTGGTGCTTGAACGAACTAGTAAAGATCATGGAATGCAAGGAAGAAAAAGGACTAATAGTCATACCGGTCTTCTATGATGTATATCCATCAGAGGTTCGGAAGCAAACGAACAGCTTTGCAGATGCCTTTACCGAACACGAATCGGAGTATGCGAATGATGTTGAAGGAATGCAGATGGTGAAAGGATGGAGAACTGCCCTAAGTGCTGCCGCTGATCTAAAAGGTTGTAATGTTCATGGCAGGTGAGTAAAAAACACACAAGTTGAATCATAAATTTATTTATCATGAAGACTAGTTACACACAATAGCTAGCTAATATTCTACTATAGAACAACTGTGTACCTCAAAAATTTATTTATTTCAATCGAGTGAATAAATTTTATGGTCATCCAAGTATACTAAATTACTTGCTAAAGTCAATTTGTGTCGATTTATATCAATTTAATTACTCAATTGTTGACGATGTTTTGAGGGGTTTGATTTATGTGTTTTGTCCCTTTTATGCACTTACACACTGTGATGTACTTCTTGTTCTTACTATTTGTAGGATTGAATCAGATTGTATTGGGGAACTTGTTGACGATGTTTCTTCCAAATTGTGCAAGACTTCTTCATCTTATTTGCAAGATATTGTGGGAATAGATACTCATTTGGAGAAAGTAAAATCCCTGCTAGAGATGGAAACTAATGATGTTCGGGTTTTGGGGATCTGGGGAATGGGGGGAGTTGGTAAAACGACTCTAGCAAGAGCTGTTTTTGATACACTCTCACCTCAATTTCAGGGTGCAAGTTTCCTTGCGGATGTAAAAGAACTAACATAAATGAAATGCATTCTCTACAAAATATCCTTCTCTCTGAACTGTTAAGGGAAGACAAAAAATATGTGAATAATAAGGCGGAAGGGAAGCGTCTGATGGCTCATAGACTTCGTTTTATGAAGGTTTTAGTTGTGCTTGATGACATCAATCATCATGATCATTTGGAGTATTTAGCAGGGGATCTTGGTTGGTTTGGCAAGGGAAGTAGAATTATTGCAACAACTAGAAACAAGCAAATTATAGGGAAGAATAATGTAGTATATGAAGTGACTACACTACCCGAACATGATGCTATTCAGTTGTTCAATCATTATGCTTTTAAGGACGAAGCTCCTGATGAGCATATTAAGAAGTTGGCTCTAGAGGTAGTAAGTCATGCTAAAGGCCTTCCTTTAGTCTTGAGATTGTGGGGTATTTGGTTACATAATCAAGATAAAACTATGTGGAGAGAAGTTGTAGACGTGATAAAGAGAGAATCTAGTCCAGATATTGTTAAAAACCTCCAAATAAGTTTTGAAGAGTTGCAAGATAACGAGAAAACGATATTTCTAGATATCGCATGCTTCTTTAGAGGGAAGAGGAAAGATGACATCATTAAAATTCTTGAGAGCTATGATTTGTACGCCCGTATCATATTGCAGGGTCTAATTGAGAAATCTCTTGTGTTTATCACTAAATATGATATAATTCAAATGCATGACTTAATTCAAGACATGGGTAGATATGTAGTGCAAATGCAAAAAGTTTCCGGACAACCTAGCAGACTATGGAACATTGAAGATTTTGAAGATGTGGTCAACAATACTGTAAGTAGGCTAAATACTGCAATAATATTCAATTTTTAATTTTCATATATCAAAATTCATTTATCTTATATTATCAAGGCATGAATTAGTCTAGTAGATGTTTAATCTAACTTTCATTCGTTAGATTAACTTGAAATTCATACGACTCTTTGTACATAATAACTCAATTAGTTATTTTTTAAGCTAATATTATACAACTATTTACTCTGAGTAACATTTTTTAATAGAAATTCTGTAATGGAAAAAATTCTAAAAGGTTCTTAAAGGGACTTTGTGGTTTCGCTATCCACATTTTCATCAAATTGTTTCTTACGAAATTCAGGTTTATTTTCATCTCATATGCAATTTCCTTAGTAGAAATCATAATACTCATAGTACATATAATTTTTTTAAAATAACATATATAAGTAATTGTTTTTTAAAAATGGGGCCCCCAAAATATATGGGGCCCAAGCGATGGCTTTAGTGGCCTAAGGGTTAAGACGGCCCTATACCTAGTTTGTTTATCTCATGTTAATAAGTTATGAATTACTCTAATAGCCACTTAATATATTTAATCTTATATCATTCTTTGGATTAACTTGAAATTTATACAGTATTTAATTTGTTCATACTAATTTAATCAATAATTTTTTAAAAGCTAATATCACCCATTTATTTACCCTAAGTAATTTTTTATCAGTAAAAATTCAAAAATTCAAAAATAAAATTTAGGAGGGCAAAAACTTACCTTACTAATTCACTTGATCATTATTAATTTTTTTTCATTTAAAAGATGACAGTTATTGGCTATTTCAGTTACCATTTTGTTTTATGAGAGCATGGAAAACTTTTTAACTTGAGTCTAATAAACTTCTCCAAAAATGTACCATTAAAAAATAAAACTAAGTACGCAAAGCATTTCTCTTAAGCGGCATATTTCTTAACTAATATTTGTACCTTAAATTTTATTTGATGGTGCTGGCTCTTCAAATAAATAATATAAAACATGACAAAAATTTGCATTCGGGGGTAGAGTAAGAAAACAATGATATTGATAAGTGGATTGTACATGACATGTTGATTCATGATCTTTTTACTAGGGGACAAAGAGAATGGAAGCAATCTGGTTTACTTATTCTGAAAAACCATTCTTTAGCAAAGATCAGGCAATGAAAAATATGCAAAGGCTTAGGATATTATGCATATCTAAAGAAAACGAAGATGATTCATCTGACTCCAATAGCCATGATGGCTCCACTGATGGCTCCACTGATGACTCCACTGATGTCTCCACTGATGACTCCATTGAGTACCTTTCCAACAACTTGTGTTGGTTTGTCTGGCATGAATATCCTTGGAAGTTATTGCCAACAAATTTTAATCCGAGAAGGCTTGTTCATGTTGATCTCCGATGGAGTTCATTGCATTATTTATGGAAGGAAACAAAGGTAAAGGTACAATTCTATTTCAGATACTTTCTATTTTTAATTGTCCTATAATTATATATGATTCTTGTGTTTAAATTAAATAAGTTATTTATTCTATTTCATCATTCTTTCTGTGTTTTGAATAGCTGCCACAATTTCCGTCTCTACAAAGGATAGATCTAAGTGGCTCTAAAAACCTGAAGAGAACACCAGATTTCAAGGGGATGCCAAATTTGGAGTATTTGAATCTACAGGAATGTACGAGTCTTGAAGAAGTTCATCCTTCCCTCAAGGATTGCAAAAAACTCATTGAGTTAAATTTGTATTATTGTGAAAGCCTTGAGAGGTTTCCATATGTTAATGTGGAATCTCTTGAATCTTTGAATCTTAGCAACTGCTATAGTTTAAAGAATTTTCCAGAAATCCTTGGAATAATGAAGCAGGGAACTGCCATAAAGAATAAGATGTCATTCGTTCGGATGGAAAACGTTGTATCTCTTCCAAGCAGCATTTGTAAGTTGAAAGGTTTGGTGAGTCTAGATGTGTCATACTGCTCAAAACTTATAAGCTTGCCAGAAGAGATAGGTGATTTAGAAAACTTGGAGTATCTTCATGCCAGCTATACTCTAATCTCACGTCCTCCGTCTACCATCGTCCAGTTGAATAAGCTTAAATCATTGTTTTTTCAAAAAAAAAAATCAGAAGATGGAGTGTACTTTGAGTTCCCTCTGGTGAATGAAGGGTTACTCTCATTGAAATATCTGGATCTCAGCTACTGCAATATAATAGATGGAGGACTTCCGGAAGACATTGGATCCTTATCCTCTTTGAAAATGTTGCATCTCAAGGGAAACAATTTTGAGCATTTGCCTCAAAGCATATCCAAACTTGGTGCTCTTGAATACTTGGACTTATCACATTGCAAGAGACTTGCACAGCTGCCAGAATTTCCACAGCAATTACACACAATTTATGCAGATTGGAGCAATGATTCATTTTGTAATTCGTTGTTTCAGAATATCTCATCATTGCAGCATGACATCTCTGTTTCAGATTCCGTGTCATCACTAAGAGTGTTTAGGAGTTTGGTGGAGGATATCCCAAGTTGGTTCAACTATCAGGAAATGTGGCCAAGTGTATTAGTCGATCTGCCTGAGAATTGGTATGAATCGGATAAGTTCTTGGGGCTTGCTGTATGTTATTCTAGAGAATCTTATATTGGTTACATCACAACCAATTTGATTCCCTTATCATGTGATGATGGGATGCCGTTGATGACCCAGAAATTTGCCTTATCCAACAATTCAGAATTGGACGATCCTGATGCATGTAATATTAATTTTTTGTTGGTACCTCTTGATGGCTTATGGGATGCATCTAATGCAAATGGAAAAACACCAAATGACTATGGGTGCATTGAGTTTGATTTTATTAGTGATATAGATGATGATTTTGGAGAAACAGATGATGATTCTGGAGAAACAGATGATGATTCTGGAGAAAAGATGAAATTTGGAGTTCGTTTGTTGTATAAAGATGAATCCGAGCCTTGCATTGGGATAAGGAAGAGCAGAGATGAAGAAGAGGCCACTTGCTCCTCTTCTAAGAAACAAAGGCAACTCTTTCCCACAAGCCCCGGATCTGCTGCTGGATCGTCACAGTTGCCTCAATGGAAGTACAATGTCTTTCTAAGTTTTAGCGGTGAAGATACCCACAGAACATTTAGGAGTCACCTGTACCAAGGTTTGAGAAACAGGGGAATATTCACCTTTCAAGGTGATAAAAGGCTAGAGCGTGGCGATTCGATCCAAGAACTCTTGAAAGCTATCGAAGAGTCTCAAGTTGCCCTCATCATTTTCTCAAAGAATTATGCTGCATCGAGGTGGTGCTTGAATGAATTAGTGAAGATCATGGAATGGAAGGAAGAAAATGGACAAACTGTCATACCGGTGTTCTATGATGTGGATCCATCACATGTTCAAAACCAAAGGGAGAGCTTTGCAGAGGCCTTTGCCAGATACGAATCAAAGTATAAGGATGATGCTGAAGGAATGCAGAAGGTGAAAGGATGGAGGAATGCCCTAACTGCTGCTGCAGATCTAAGAGGATTCGATATCCGTAACGGGTAAAAATACATAATTCCTTTTCATGAAAGATGAAACGATATTATTTCCATTCAAATTTGGATGCTTCTGTGTAGACTACCAACCAAAATGAGTCGAGCAGAATATTATATATTTCTTAAATAATTTTTCATATTTTCTAAAAATAGAATAATTATATAGTTCTATCTGTAAGAAGGCATAGTTCCTATTAGTTTTATTGCTCAATGACATTGTTAGGTAGATAATATGTTGATTGTTTCTTCAAGAGTTCGATCTTATCAGTATGAAGGCATAGTCCTATCAATTAAAAGCATATAAAAGAATGATGGTAGATTATATATGTTTCTATCAGTAAGAAGGCATAGTCCTGTTCAATTAGAGAGCACTCGTAAAAATCCTCATAAACTATTCAAGTTTTGCAACTTACATATAGATTGTTGCTATTGCCCTTAACAATATGAAATACTTACTAATACTTGATTTTCTCACATTTTCCACAATCAATCTTCTTATTTATGTAGGATTGAATCTGAGAATATTCAGCAGATCGTCGCCCACATCTCTTCCAAATTAGGCAATAGTGCTTATTCTTTATCTTCTTTGAAAGATGTTGTGGGAATACATGCTCATTTAGAGAAACTAAAATCCCGACTTGAAATAGAAATTGATGATGTTCGGATCTTAGGGATCTGGGGAACAGGTGGAATTGGTAAAACGACAATAGCAAAAGCCATCTTTCATACTCTATCTTATCAATTTAAAGCTGCTTGTTTTCTCGAGGATGTTAAAGACAATGCCAAAAAGAATCAACTGCATTATTTACAAAATACTCTTCTCTCTGAACTGTTAGGAGAAACAGATGATTACGTCAATAATAAGAACGATGGGAAGTGCATGATTCCGAGCAGACTTTCTTCTATGAAGGTGCTAATTGTGCTTGATGACATTGATGAAAGAGATCATTTGGAGTATTTAGCAGGTGATGTTGGTTGGTTTGGTAGTGGCAGCAGAGTTGTTGTAACAACTAGAAATAGAGCTTTGATAAAGAATGCTGATGCAATATATGAAGTGCCTACACTACCTGATCTTGAAGCTTTGCAACTGTTCAATCAGTATGCTTTCAAAAAAGAAGTTCCAGATGAGCGTTTTAAGAAATTCTCGTTGGAGGTAGTAGATCATGCTAAAGGCCTTCCTTTAGCCCTCAAGGTGTGGGGTTCTTTGTTGCATAGGAAAGACCTAAGTCAGTGGAGAAGAATTATAGACTATATAGAGAAAAACTATAGTTCAGGGATTGTTCAAAAACTCAAAATTAGTTATGATGGGTTGGATCCCTTAGAACAACAGATATTTCTAGATATAGCTTGTTTTTTCCGAGGAGATGAAAAAAAGAAAGTCATGCAAATCCTTAAGAGCTGTGATTTTGGAGCTGAGTATGGATTGGATGTCCTAATTGAAAAATCTCTCGTGTTCTTAACTGAAGATGATACAATTGAAATGCATGACTTAATACAAGATATGGGTAAATATATAGTGAAAATTCAGAAGGATGCGGGCAAATGTAGCAGAACATGGGACTATGAAGATTTTAAAGAAATGATGGACAGCAATGAAGTAAGTAGGCTAAACAATACAATAATATTCAATTTCTAGTTTTCATATTCCAAAGACATATAGGGTCAATTCCATTATTTGTTCTTCTTACTTCATATTTCCGCACTTAAGTCACATCAGTTTTTTACTTTAGTAGTAGAAGCAAGTAACATTAACTGTCTAACACTGCCTAGTTCGTCAAGTAGCCACTTTAATTACCACTGCCTAATTTGTTTTTTCTTATGTTACTAAGCCATGATTTAGGGTGTGTTTGGTATGAAGGAAAATGTTTTCCTAGAAAACAACAGATTTTTGACTTATTTTCTCATGTTTGGTTGGTATTTTCGGAAAAGATTTTTTAGTGTTTGATTTATTAATGAAAATTATTTTGGAGAAAATATCTTTTATTTTTACTAGAGAGTAGAAAATAATTTTTGAATTGAAATTGAAAATATCTTTTAAAAATAAACTTGATTTTTTTTTTGGGGAAGGTTGGGGTGGTGGTGGGTGAGATGGGGTAAAAAATAAAGTAAAATTTGAAATTAAAAAATATTTTTTAAAAACAAACTTAAATTTTTTT